GCTATAGGCGCCGAGCCACTTCATTCATTTTCAAGAAAATATTCTCCAAATACCGAACTGTGAAAAACTGTAGTCAGAGTAGGCACTTGTAGCTCAGTGCCGCATACTTCGAGGTTGGCAGGTTCAAGCCAGGTTCAAGCCAGGCCCAAGCCTGCTAAACAATGATAACTGCAACCAGAAAAAAAATAGCTGGGCGTTGTGGAGGGCACCTGTAGTCCCAGCTACAAGGGACTGAGGCAAGAGTATTGCTTAAGCCCAAGAGTTTGAGGTTGCTGTGACACCGTGGCACTCTGGCACTCTACTGAGGACGACAAAATCAAACTGTCTCAAAACAAACAAAACAAAAACGTAGTTTTTTTCAAATAAAAATACCATTCTATGTATGACTCATGTCACAAATACTTTTCCTCATGAAAACAACCATATCTCAATAGGCAGCATAAATGTTTTATACCTGTTTCTCTCTTCATCAAACTCTTAAAAATAAAAAAATACACAAAAAGCTAAGATTTATTATCAATAATTTTTATAGCCTCATCAAGGACATTCTCAAGTAAGTACTGTTTGGTGCCACTGCCTTGCTATGTGTTAAGGCACCACCAGTAATTTTACCTGGCATTGCTTTTGAATTCTCATTACAAATGTCAGTGAAAAAAATCAATAGCATCTTACTATACTTTTTAAATAGGTATGTCCTTGAGGGGCTCTTCTAAAAAGGGTGTGCAGGGATCTCCAGGGGTCATCTGTCAACACTTAGAACTGCCTTTCTAGATCACACCACTAGTTCAAGATGGAGTGGAAAGGCTAACAAAATCTTGTTCATTCGAAGACTCCCTTCTGTTAGCTTTTACTTTGAGATGCATCACCAACACAGCTCCAGAAGGCAGGAGAAAATCAAGGGCATCGAGTGCCATTTAATTTTTTAACATTGTATTTTAAACACTGTTCGTTAAAAATGTGGAGACATTCCCCTCTTTTACCCAAGGAATTTTGTGAATCCGCCGCCGCCCCCCCCTCCATTGCAGGTTTAACAATCTCCAAGGTACTTTTCTATGCGCCCTAAAGTTAAGAACGATTGTGTTTCAGAGTCCAAGCTTGTAGTCCCAGAGCACCCCGGCTGAAATTCATTGTTCACCCCGCAGCAGCCATCCCCACCCCTCCGATCTAGTTGGGAAAATTTCTTTAGAAGTAAAAACTCCATTTTCATGGAGTTTTGAGCTGTGGTGGAAGGTGTCTTTTTAAAACAGCGCGGAGGTAAGAGCTACCATCTGCACCAACCCCGTGGCTGTTCTCAGTACAAATGCATCAAAATTTCCATCTTAAAAATGAGACTTGGGGCCAAATGACTTAGAAGGCAATTCAGCTCTTTTTTCTAAGCTAAGAATATCTAAGACAAGTGAATCTGGAGACATCCAGTGCTAGTGACAATTTAAGGGAATCCCACGTGTGGCAAGAAAGGAAATCAGGACAAGCAGAAAGGAATGGAAGCAGGTGGATCGATGACATTACTCCTGTTCAGTAGGTGCTGAGAATCGGGGAATCGGGACAAAATAGTCCCTGAAATAAACATGGCGCCCACCGCGGCAGGGCATAATCACCACCTAATATTCTCCGCCCCATACCATTTTATAAATCATGGCACCGTCCCTAAAGAAATTTGGGTGCGGAGGGAGGAGACTGTGTTAACTAGCTGCAGTGCACCGAGGCTCAGGATGCACTATCAGACTGAGCAAGGATTACATAACACAAGGGGTCAGCTAAACATTCATTTTTCTCCTCCAGCTCGAAAAGAACCGCCCGTTACTGTCCCGGCCGGGGGTGGGAGAGCCGAGAGCCACCACCCCCGGGGGCCGGTACCCCGCCGCTGCCCACCCTCTTCCCGGCGCCGCCTTGCCTCCCCACCCGCAGCGCCCAGCCGTCTAGCTGCCGCCCGCGCCCCCACCCCT